ATTAGGCTAAGCAGAACTGAGAAAGGCCTCAGAGACCACTGTGAGGTTTGGGTTTCACTCCGTGGTTTGGCTTTCTAGTTGTGGATTTGCACCTCTGCGTCTAGTCTTTGTTTTCTGGCTTTGTATTGTTCAGAGTCAAACATATAATTGTATATCCGTCGGTTGAGAACATGAGAAAGTCATTGTGGATTATTCGGTGGCTTCTCGTGCAGAGCATATAAACAAGCGTGTGAAATGAAGCTAACATTCTCAGAAAATGCTAACGTCGCTAACGTAAGTAGCGAGTACGAGCAAATCAGCAAAACATAAGTCATGTCAAGCGAGTGCTAAAGTTATAGGACGCGCTTTTCTTGACTTGGGTGAGTTTCGCCTTGAAGTTCAACTCCCACAGCTCAGAAACAGCCCTGTCTCTGTGTTTCCATCTCCTTCCTGTGGCTGCAGGAAGCGCATAATAAGTGTGGACAAACACAGGAAACAGGACATGCTGTTGTGTCATGGTGTCTATTCTCCCTCCCTCTCTCTCTCTCTCTCTCTCTCTCTCTCTCTCTGTCTCTCTCTCTCTTTCTCTTTCTCTCACAACTGGCCTCTGTTACAGTTCCAAACCACAGGTTTTCGCCCCCAAAGGCAACTCTGGGGCAAAAACAACAGGAAAAGGGTCTTGAACTTGTATTTAAAGTAACAGTTTGACAAAAAAAAATCAAAGATACGCAATTTCCCTCTTATGTAAAGTGCAGTCAGCCAGCTAAGAAGTTTCATGTCTGCTTTTGTTTTGTACTGCTAGCTATATGGCTAGTGCTGAAAAGCTAAAAACAGTTGTACTAGCCATCTTGAAACCTGAATTTTGTCCATACTTTTGTCCACTTTTATAGATAACAGTATATCAAAGCAGGCCTATCTGAGATATGAGCCAAATATGTGATAATAGTGGCATGCTAACTCGGCTAACTGGTGAGGTATAAGCTTAATACTTGTTAGCTTGTTAGCCTTGTAGCTCCAGTGCAACACCTAAGAAGCAAACGTAGGTCGCCAAACATGTCTTGGCTGATCAACTACATTTGAACTTTGGGGGAAACTGCATAAGCCTTGTTTTTTGCTAAAATATTTCTTTCTTTTTCTTAGCATAATAACCAAATATCAGCCCACTGTTCACCTATTCCTGCATTTAGCTAGCAATCTGAAGTTAACTTCACAGTACGGTCACCTACAATGGGCACCTCTCTAGGAGTGAATCCATCAACTATTTCCAGATCCCCCCTTGTTTCTGCTCTCCTTCCTTCTCTCCATGAATCCCTCCTCTTCCTTTTCCTTTCCTTCCAAGCTCGTCTCCTCTCCTAACACGTCTCCTCTCCTAACACTCCTAACACTTTTCCGTCGTTTCTTCGCTCACAGTGACCCATATTTACGAACTGAGTCAGAGGAAGAGTGATGGTCTAAGATTCTAATCCTGTTTTTCAGCATATGAAATTATATAAAATGACCAGAGACAGGCTCTCTCAATTAGGGCTATCAGTAACGAGTAATCTACTCATTATTTTGACAGTTGGTCAAGCAGTCGAGAGTTTTTAAAAATGGCCCAACAATATAAATGGACAATAACAAACCAGCCATTGCCTTTCAAAGCAGCCTTCAAAGGGAAATTTTACTTAATTTTTTAAAAAGTGTCAACCAAGTCATTCAGAGTGGTCTAGTGTAGAATTCACTGTTGTAAAGAAACTTACAGAGACAGAACAGTTTACAGTGGTGGTGATAGGAACCAGACGTCTTAAGCGTTCAATGGCGCTACAGGGTACCTCACAGAAAGTTAAGCTGGAAATATGCAGGAATATACCATAATAGAACTGAATTACAATACAGCTTAGCTAGATACCTTTTCAGATAGGCCAAGGAAAACTGAGGTGAATGCAGTCTGAATATAAGCCAATCTGACTGCATGATAGCTCTAATTTTTTACTGCACAATTTTATGTATACTGCAATATTAAACATGCACTGTAACGTTGTGACACTTTAAAATATCATCACTGCAATTTGGTCAAACAGTCTGATCACCTGACACAGTCCCTCCTCTGAGCTTGTAAACAATCACAATAGCCACAGCACGGCAGAAGGAGGAGCGCTCAGAGAACTTTTTATGCATCAGAAAGGTGAAAACTCATGTCCCCCCAGCTTAAGGAAAATATATATATATATATATATATATATATATATATATATATATATATATATATATATATATATATATACATAATAGTAGTATGTTCCATGCTGTATTCCTGCTGTATTTTGGAGCAGCTTCCCAGCTCTTTGTAAAGGTCTCAGTGTTCTACGGAGGGGTTTCTAAACGCTGGTCCAAACTGCTAATAGTCCTGTATGATAATAATACACAGTGAGCGGCATTATGTGTCATTATTTAATAAGCAAATATTGCTCACATACACCCCAATTTTAGAAAATACATCCAGAACGTACCTTTGTAACATTTAGACTGTAAATATAATGGTTATATTTGTGTCGTAGACATTGTAACCCCAGTTCCCATCACCACTACTGTAAAGTAATCCAAGTTGCTAAGTTTGTCTACAATAAACCATTTCATAGCAAAGCATTCTAAATAACTTTATTCACATCTTACTGATTAATTCATGCAAAAATGATTAAAAATCAGTTCCCCTCATTTATATAAATAGATACTGCTGATTCATCAAAGTGGTACATTTTAATACATTTGTGCATTTAATCAAATAACTAAGACAACTCTACTCTCAGTATGAGAGGTTGGATAAATATAACCCAACATCTTGGCACAAGCAATCCCATCTATGGCAAACTTGCTGATCAATATTCGAAAAATGTTTCAGCAGAATCTCCACTGAAGGTCGGCTCATCAAGGACGTGAGTAAAAATAGTTTTAGCACTCGTCACTTGGTGAAATAAAGTTACTGCAAGTCATTTTCCTCTGAGGTCACTCAAACTCACCCGAGTTACTGACACGGATGTTGCGCAATATGAGGCCAAACTGAGCACTCTACAACCAAACTGGGCCAGTCGGCCTTTTTTTTTCAGCTAAACAGCCATCCAGCACAGCCCTCCAAAAGACCTTGTACATGGAAACACACATAAAAACATGCACACATGCACAGGCATGACTCCATATATTCTTCTGACCTGGGCATTCATCTTGTCATTTTTATTAAAGAGCAAGTCAGGTGGTAGGCAGCATCTAGTTTCAGCCCGTTAGCCCTGTCATCTGAGCACACTCCTTACAAAAGAGGCACTGTCTTCCGTGCTGGACCCCGTTGCATTATTTACCCAAGGCCCACAAGGCACCCGGGTCATGTGACCCTGCCTCACAGGAGGGAAATGACCACAGCAATCTATCTGCCTGAGTCAGTGTGACTTCTTTTTTTAGGCCATAGAATCAAAGTGTTAAGTTAGAGCCGAGTGCACAGCCTTGCTCAAGACATTACAGGGTGATCTGATAAACCAAATGCTCTCAATTTGACACTGGCATCTGAAGAAACACCCTTTTGGACACCCTAGGCATGAAAATGTAGCTGATACACAAAGACAGACTCAACAGAGAGTGCAACAGTTGGCTTAAAAGCAGAAAGAATGACCAACTTGCTACAGGCTGATGGGAATGTTACTGTCTCGCTGCCCAAAGGAGAGGAAAAGACAAACAGTATTTTAAAAAATTGCCATGTTCAGTTACTACAACACAAAAATAACTTCCTCTTAGTTTCCTAACACATGGAAGCTAGACTCAAACCACATAAACACTCAGTGAGTAATGCTACAATGTACAAGTCTCCAGTCTCAGAGACTATATCGTCATAGTCATTCATAGCAGAGGCTCCGTCAGGCTTTCCAAAGCAAACCAAGGGGTTGTGGCAGCTGTTCGCCTATAAAATCTAAAAGGATTTTGTTGCTAAGGTTTAATTGTGGACTATTCTCAGAGGTGAGCTATTCTCAAACATGTAAGAGGTCAGTCTTGATGTGGATTAATTAAAACTGCATCCAAAAATACTTCAGTTTTTAGACTGAAATGACTTCTAAATGAAGTGCTGACACAACAAGAGGAGGAAACAGCGCCCCTTAAAAAAGGCCATAACCTGTAACTGCACCCTTCTTTTGAGCTAAAATGAAAAAAGAATTTCCACCTCACGCTTTTTGGTGTTTATTGGTGCATTGGCTCTCCAAAACACAAAATTCATTCAACAATTAAATAAGCTAAAGATTATAGCTGCTTAATTGTTATTATTTTACGGCGGACATGTTTCGGCTCCTCGACACCATCCAAAATTTGTGCACAGGGTTGTAGCCTAAAGCCGTATGACTCTCACATGATCATCAAAACCATCGACATAAACAGATCAATACAACAATTATATACAGATTTCCAAAAAATGAATAAAAGAGGAAAGGAGAGAATCATTCCTTATTAAAGGCAGACACTTTTATTGAGTCAAGTCACAAAGACGTATCGGTATAGAAACAGTCACACCTGGTAGGAGAGGTGGGGACATCACCAACAAGATTTTACAATGCAAAACGTTCTGGATTCATACTTTAGTTGCCACGGCATCAGCAGGGATGAACGATGAATTTAATTTCACATCTTCTGGATTAGATCATTGAGAATGATTGTCTCCCTTCCTGAGGTATTATTTTTGGAGATTTGTTTAAATGTAGATAGTCTGTATTTGTTGTACTGAACTGTTTACGTTGGTCTATGTAGTTTTGATGATCAAGTGAGAGTCTTGTGACACTATAGATTTTAGGCTACACCTGTATGCCCTAATTTTGAATGGCACTGTGGATGGCATGAGCCTGAACACGTTCACCAATAATTAAAAACATTTAAGCAACTATAGGCCTAATGTCTTGCTTATTTCATTGTTGAGTGTGGGCCTCGGTGCTCTTTTGGACCCTTCTGTTGAACGTCCATCAGAAAACTCTCCCAAACCAGCACAAAAAGTCACCAAAATCATGCAGACTGACCTGTGAGGCGGCATGTTCTTTAGCTCCGGCTTCTTTCCCTGGCTGATCGGCAGGCTGAGAGCTGTCGGTCCCCGGCTGTAGAGGGCGATAGCCGATGAGAGGCACATCTTTAGACCCCACTCCCGGCAGGTCCACGCCGGCTGTCCTCATATTTCGATGGAGCATCGTGGTGGTGGCTGAAGCACAAAAACAAGCACATATAATAGACTGGTCAGCATATAAAAAGCGCCAATTTAATAGGGCGCAAACAGAGCGTCGGCTGTAACCGAGGCAAAGCAGTGGCACCCTGGAACAGGGTCAGCGGACCTGGCCGCTCATTTGTTTACATCATTTACATTTCCCCATGGCAAGCTGTGACTTCAAATTTGAATTCCGACCACTCCTTCCCTTTCCCCTTTCCTCCTCTGGTATTTTGATTGCCATGGAGATAGAAATCTCTTTCAGGAAGGCAGAGGGCCTCACCAGAGCTTGTGTCCACAGGGGTGTCCATAAAAACAAAGAAATAGATGTTTCTTTTTCCAAATATTTGCTCAGGTGGTTCCAAAGGTGGGTAGACTATTCTGAACCCATATTCAACTTAAAGTCCTGTTACTTTAGTGAAATAATGACTCAAGTAAAGTAGAACAGCTTGAACAGAAGTATGAAAGTAGCAAAGGGGAATTCTACATAAAGGGAAATTTCTACATAATCAAATTGTCAAGATGTAAACAAAGTCAGTCAGAGTGGTTTGATGTGAAATGCTCCGTTCCAGAGGAACTTACTGAGTCAGAATTGTTTACATTGGTGGTGATGGGAACCAGACATCTGAAGCATTAGCTGCTTATAAAAGCTATAGTCATTACATGAAATGGATATGAATACGCTGCCTAACACATTGTTTGTATATAATATATATATAAAGAAATGGTTCTTCAAGGGTAAAGACAATGGTTCTGTATAGAACAATGAACACTCGAAGAACCTGTTGCATGATTAAAGTGTTCTTTCATTGTGAAATGGTTCTTCAGATTGATGGAGAGTGTGCTGTACATGGTTCTATATAAAACTTTTTTCAAAAGGGTTCTGTGATTGTTATGATGTAACAATAAAAGAACCCTTTTTGGTGCTATATAGAACCCTTGTGTGTGCAACCATCTACAACACATTCTCCATATATCTAAAGGGCCCTTTCATGATGCACAGACCCCTTTTATCATGCGAAAGGTTGTTGGTTCTACACAGAGCCACTGTCTTTACTAAAGAACCCTTGAAGAACCCTCTTTTTTTCAGAGGTAGTATTCAGTAAACAGTGGTGTAAGTGGACACTAAGAGTATTCAACACCACTCTGTGGGCTTCTCTCTCCATCTCTGTCTGTCTAAGCATGTTAACTTGCAAGCTTTTCATTAAGTTGACCAGCAGCCCACACTTTCCTTCACTTCTGGAGCAACTGCCACTTTCTGAACTCCTCTTATTCATGTGGCTCCTGTTTGCAAATGACTGAAGACATTCATGCATGAGTTGTCTGCCAGCTCCCAGCACTAAGTTGGGTCACACCCCGCATGAACGCAAAGCTGCCGCTCTGCTAATTCGAGGTCATTGGGGGGTCCTGAGCCTGACGGCGTTCACTCACGCTCGGTTACACATACAGCTCATAAGCGAGGCTGGCAGTTAAATATAAACCGAAAACTGTATCGTTTCTACGGCAGATCAATGTGAGGCGCTTTCACAAGGACGGAAAAAGCCAGACGGGACCCGACCTGCGTTATAACGCCGTTATAATGCTGCGAAAACGACCCAAACTCTGCCACCCGGGCCACTCTCCTTCTCAAAACCTACACCTACCGAACTTAAAGCAGTGCGATCGCCACAGACGCGCCGTTAACCCCCCAAAAACCAGCCCAAATACCTTCTAGCCCGCGAGCCCCGCGTCCATCCGCTCCTGTAGACAGTCTTCTCTGATCAGACTCCCTCCACCTCCATATCTCCCCCCTCCTGGTGGCCTGAAGAGCCTTATCGTGTGATCGCAGGGCCGATCAGACCCAGTCCGTGTGAGCCGCACACTCCCTCCGCCTGCTTGGCCTCGTTCCTCTCAGCTTGCGGGTGCAGCGGGGCGAGACGCGGTGGGTTTTGTTTTGCGCCCGTTTTCAGGCTAGCCCCGCCTTCGCTGCGCTGGGATTGGCTGGGAGTTCAGCGGCGTTTTGAATGTAGTTTTTATTTTTGATGCTTTTTCTGCTGTCCTGGGAAATTAATCTCAGTTTTTGTTCGCCTTTATAAATATATATATATAAATTTTAGATTTAGTCTTTGTTTTAAAATTATGTTTTGTTTTATTTTATGTGTTAGTTTCAGTTAAGGCTTTATTAGTCGGTACAGTACTGTGTTGTTATGCGGTCATCAAAAGGAAACACCATATATATATATATATATATGATGGTGTTTCCTTTTTATGGCCGCATAACACCTCAGTACTGTACTGACTAATAAAGCCTTAACTGTGTATATATATACACACAGTTAAGGCTTTATTAGTGTGAATATATATATATATATATATTCTTTGGAGTTGGTTCCCCCTTTGCAACTGTTACAGCTTCCACTCTTCTGGGAAGCTTTCTACAAGATTTTGGAGAGTGTCTGTGGGAATATTTGTCCATTCATCAAGAAGAGCATTTGTGGGGTCAGACACTGATGTTGGATCAGAGGGCCTGGCTCACAATCTCCGTTCTAGTTCATCCTAAAGCTGTTGGATGGGGTTGAGGTCAGGGCTCTGAGAGGGCCAGTGAAGTTCTTCCACATCAAACTCACCCAGCCAGGCCTTTATGGACCTTGCTTTGTGCACTGATGCTCAGTCATGCTGGAACAGAAAAGGACCTTCCCCAAACTGTTCCCACAAAGTTGGAACCATACAATTGTCCAAAATGTCCTGGTCTGCTGAAGCATTAAGATTTCCCTTCACTGGAACTAAGGGGCCGAGACCAACCCCTGAAAAACAACCGCATAGCATTATCCCTCTTCCACCAAACTTTACAGTTGGCACAGTGCAGTCAGGCAGGTAATGTTTTCCTGGCATTCGCCTAACCCAGACTTGTCCAACAGACAAGTGTCATTCGTCATTCCACAGAATATGTTTCCACTGCTCCAGTGGCAGTCTGCTTTACCCCACTCCATCCAGACTGCATGGCTACGGGCTTGATTTCACACACCTGAATTCAGTGATTGACAATACTTTTGTCCACAATTATAATGCCATTTTAATTTTAATGCAACTGACATTAATATTTTGTTTAAATTCAGGAAGGTTTTATGTTAATAGTTTTAGTTCTCTGAAAGAATTATGCTTGTAAGAATGAGCCTCTGGCCAATCGTAGCGCAGGAGGCGGGGCTTGTCTGGATACGGGTGGGAAACTAAAAAATACAGTAAGACCAGCAACTACACAGCTAATAAGAGGGTGACATGCCTGCTTTTGCTGGTTGCACTTAGTTTTGTGCAGTCCAGTAAAGCTGAAATGTTTGATGTGATTTATGCTTTTGAGCTGATATGCAGTTCTTCTTAAGGTGATTATCATGGACTAATCCTTGAGTTCACTGTGGAACCTTAGTTTGATGCTGACCTTGCAACAAATATGGAAAAGCCTTTGAAGGCTAGTAGGCCTACAGTTTGAACATGAAAAAAAAAGCATGCTGAAAACACACAGCGAAAGCCCTTGAGCCCTGGGAACAGTTTCTTTCAGATCCACAGGAAGCTCCATGCCCAGCGCTGCAATAAAGCCTCATGTTCATAACTAAGAACATCAAACACTTCGTGACCCATCAGTGAAACAGGATTATATGGACTCCTGCAGGCCCAAATATCCTTGACTTTCCACTGCAATATTCCTTATGTTTGTAAGTTATGATGTGAAAAAGCCCACGTTGGGCTTCACGAATCCCCTTAGGATACCAAAATACTATAATTCATTGAGTTTTGTAATTTTCTGCATACTTGAATGGTTAAGATGTAAACAAAGTCTTTCAGAGTGCTCTGTTCTAGAGAAACGTATCAAATTGTTCACAATGGTGGTGATAGGAACCAGACGTCTGAAGCGTTTAAAGTTCCCTTGGAGAAAGTCGTTATATGAAATGTCTACAAATGCACTGGCTGATGCCTGAGAAACTGTTTTATGATAGTTTTGAAAGAAGGTTTTAGCCTAAAATGTATTTTAATATCCATTCCTGTCTGAGAGGTACATGCAGGGTGTGATAAAGCAAAATAGTCCTCAAAGAAAATGTATTTTCTCAGATTTATCACTACCAACATTACATGTACAACACATATGTGTTCACTGGTGGTTTTGGACAGTGAATAAAATGACTATATTTGTGTCGTAGACATTTTGACCCCTGGTTCCTATCACTGTAAAGAAATGAGTCAGCATATATTTCCACAATGAGCCATTTCACATCAAACCACTGAGTGACTTTGTTTACATTCCAGAGATTGAATTATCAAAAAATAATGCTAATGAGAATAGCTGGACTTCCCCTTTAATGGTTTACAGGTTTTACAGGTTTTACAGGGACTAAATAAACTTATAATGTGTAACTAGTTGACAAAGTGAATCAGAAAACTCCAAGAAAGTTGCTTCAGTCAATTTGACTTTTTGTTCTCTTTGTATCGTCTTATCTGACATGGTGTTTTGCCCTGTATAACACAAAGTGTCTGGAATAAACTACTTTAAAGCCACTGATTCATTCAGATATTGTAATATATATTAATTTTTAAGAGAAAACTTGGGGATAATAGTCCACTTTGAAAGCTTAAGCATCTGCAGTGTTTAACGATCGATAGTAATATGTGTAGTATGACTATACACTAAAAGGTCTTATGAGTATGTTGTTTGGTTAAAAGATCATCACTGTATCAGTTCTCTGCATCAAGGCTGGCCAAAGCTGGCCCACAAGGACATTGATTTGGCCTGCCAGAAAGTTTGCCTTACCCCACCCCCTCACTTAATGACAGAAAAAAACATATATTTTTAAATATTACAACATATTAAATTCTTATTTTCCTTTAAACTTGCATTTTCGAGGGATTTTAGTAACAATATGCAGTCTAATGTTAGAAAATACATTTTAAAAACTTGATCTGAAACCTTTCCAGCTCCCTATCCAACCACAAACTTTGCATATTGGACACCCCAAGATAAAAGGTTTGGGCACCTCTGGTTTAAAATAAAAACATGAACATGTTAATTAGTGATAAAAATGCATTACAGCAGTTCAAATAGTTTACAGAGAAGCTACTGAACGGGAATCTGTGTGATTTACTACTGTCAACATTACGTAATCTCCATTTTTGATGTGTTTCATTCGAAAACTATAGTTATCCTTTGCATCTTGTTACAAAATCAACATGAATGGACCAAAAAATGCTCCAAATTTATTTGGACAAAACAACTTCCACTATAATGCAGGAACGTTTTTTCCTTCTCATGTAAAGTTACCGTTTTAGAGATATGAGGTTTTGTTCCTGTGATGCTCTGGTATGTAAGGTGAACTTCTTTTTCTCTCCTATCTCTCGTTTTGAGTAAGCGTAGTGTGCTTGCCCTCTGGTGTGCTATCAAGGAACTGACACTTCTGCTTTCCAAAGACCTGCCAGAGGCCATTTTGAACACAACATGAATAGCAGAACTGCAAAACAATTGTGTTTTTTTTCCCCTCCACATATTTAAAGCTTTGAAATTGTGAAGGGGATTGATCGTCTGATGGGTTTCACAGACCACTGAGAACATAAAAACCTGAGATACTCTGACTCTGACAGTGGATGAGCTGTAAACATAGGCCTATATGTACTCACAGTATTAACTAGATCCAGCATTTCCATAAATTAGCATTGAGGTCAACGTAGTAGCGTCATTAGAATTTCTCTAGGAGGGGCTTCTTTGTGATGATTATAAAATCTGACAGTGTGTAAACATTACTGTATAATGTATAATATTGCATAATGTTAGTGGCTGTACACTAATAATAGCAAACGCATTCGTCAGGAAATGATATGCTTAAATGAGAAGGTGATTAGCGTTCAATATAAACACAGCCAGCATGGTTAGCCTAAATGTTAAGCAACTTAAAGAAAACAAAGTTATATGAAAAAATGAATTTATATAAATTGGCATTAAGTAAAACACAATTGCATTTGAATTTACTAGGATGGGCTTGTTTGTCATGTTGACAGTAGGACAATCAAATGCTATTGTATAATGCATATGGTAGATTAGTAGCCATGCTTCCTGCTGATACTACTACTAAAAATGTTGTTCATGAAAGGACTTACAATGTTCAGAAGAACTGAACATCATGGAAAAAACCCCAATAAATTTCCAAAAATTAACAGGCAATCATAGCAGCATAATTTAGATTTCACCTTGGGGCTTGCTCGTCATGTTTATAGAATCAGGCAGTCAATGAACATAATCTTATAATGTATAATACTGTATAATGTAAGTTACTATAGTTACTTCTGATGTTACTAATGTAATAGTAATGGTAGATCAAATGTGTTGATTTACAAATTACAGACACATTCATAAGAACTGAAAATTCTATAAGAAAAAATATGAGATTCCTTACATTAGCACTGGAGACAACATTGCAGCATGTTTAGGATTAGTAGTTAAACTACTAATAAAAGGGTTTATCAGATAATAACCTAAACAGAAATACCCTATATCTGAAATACAAATTCTTAAGTTATATATAAAAAATGAACAAACCGTAAATTTCCATTAATTGGATCTTAGATCAAGACGATCCTGACAAACTGAGGCAATCTACTAATATTACTGTATAATGTTAATAGCTCCATAATCTTTACTGATGTATGACACATTCAGTACAGCTAAATGTTACATAGACACTAATCGGCTACTAACACCAAAAAACCAAGAAAACAATCCATATTTATACACTGTTTGTCCATTTTATCAGCTCCACTTACCATGTAGGACCACTTTGTAGTTCTACCACTACATTCTGTAGTCCATCTGTTTCTCTACATACTTTGTTGGCCCCCTTTTACCCTGTTCTTCAATGATCAGGACCCCTTCAGAGCAGGTGGATCATTCTCAGCAGTGACACTGATGTGGTGGATCAGACACAGCAGTGCTGCTGGAGTTTTTAAACACCTCAGTGTCACTGCTGGACTGAGAATAGTCCACCAACCAAAATATCCAGCCAACAGCGTCCTGTGGGCAGTGATGAAGGACTGGAGGACGACCAACACCAACTGGGTCTGACTGTACATCTACAAGGTGGACCAACAAGGTAGGTCTAATAGGTCTAATAGAGTGGACAGTGTTCAAAAACTCCAGCAGCACTGCTGTGTCTGATCCACTCAGACCAGCGCAACACACACTAACCAGTATCAGTCTCACAGCAGTGCTGAGAATGATCCGCCATCCAAATAATACCTGCTCTGTGAGGGTCCACGGGGGTCCTGCCCACTGCAGAACAGGGTGAAAGGGGGCTAACAAAGTATGCAGAGATGGACTACAGTCTGTAATCATAGAACTACAAAGTGCACATGTATGGTCAATGGAACTGATAACACACAAAACAAGAAGGAGCATAATTTGAATTTATGAATGTGTTATATTGTATAGCAGCTATATTTTACCACTGATATTACTACTAACAGTAATAATGAACGTGCTTATTTAGACAATGACAGCCCTAAACAGTGGCACAGTGATCAGCATACAGCCGTTCAGCATGGCCTGCGCGGACAGCCTGAATCTGAAACGTTAGACAGAAAAATTGGGGGAAAAAAAGAACTTTGACGATCCCAAGTGACCCAACAGGAGCATGAGCACTCAGAAAGTGAGTGAGTGTGTGTGTGTGAGAGAGTGAGTGTGGAGGGTGGGAGGAGGTCTGAAAGTTTCCCCTCTCCTCTCCGGCCAGACCGATTAGCCCACAGCCAGGGAAAAAACTTCAGCCCGGCGCGCGCCGCTAGCGGCGGTTAGCAGCCCGAAACAAACATGGTGGCGCATCAGCGCGGGCTGTCGGTCACTGCACAGATGTGAAGGTGTTCATACACAAACCCCTCCTCGGCAGCCGGAGCAGCCCGCCTTATCTCTCCCTCCCACTCCACTGCTCTGTGTTTTATGTCTGCGTCACAACAAGTCGAGAGAGAGAGAGAGAGACAGAGAGAGAGAGAGAGAGAGAGAGGGAGAGAGAGAGAGAGATGGTGATGATGATGATGATGGCGTCTCTGTCGGCTCGATTCTTTCAAGCCTCCCTGAAGAACACGTTCTAACAACACCAGCAAAGCGGGAGAGAAAGAAAAGGAGGGAGGAAAAAAAGAAAGGAAGGATGAGAACATGACGGAACGGCGTGGCTCTAGACAGACGGACGGACAAAACGCTGACGACTTGACTGACTGACTGACTGACCGTTTTGGCATCGACACGCACACACACACACACACGCACGCGCGCGCGCCCGCTCGCGCACACGCTCGAGCACATCCATATTCTGGAGAGTAATTGAGGCGCGAAAAGAAGAAGAAGAAGAAGAAGAAGAAGAAGAAAGACAACCAAAACACCGGAGGTCGGACATTTTCATGTCAAGCTCGAACAGCAGTCTCTGTGACCCCAACAGAGAAGAGTGCGACTTTACAGGTAAAGCTCGGAGCTTTTCTGCTCGTCTTTTTTTCTCTCTTTTTTTTCAGCCGCTCTTAACGTATTTCTGGATTTCCATCATGTCTGGAGCCGGCAGAGTTACGTACGCGGACAGGAGCGGATCTCTAGACTAACCGCTTTCAGTTCTTTTCGCCGCGGTAACACTTCTTTATCTTCATCCCGAGCACAATGTGATAGGTTTATAATGGGCCTGGGAGGTGAATGCGCTCTAATGGGCTGTTGCATAAGGAAAGCTGGGGATCCTGCTGTGGCAGTGCCCAAGCCTGACTGCCTCGGTGCTAATGCCTCAGTCTCTCATCATTCAAAGCGCTGTACTGTATACTGTCGCTATGCACTGAGTGTGAATTTAACCCTTTAGGTCGGAGAGTGCCTCGCTCCTGAGGCCCTCAGGGCTGTTTTTCCCTGGACTTTCAACTCCGTTTGTAGTTCTTTCAGCCTCTCTTTCTCCACACTTTCTCGAAGTGTAAAGTGTCTCTCTTCCACTTCATGCTCAGGATGGGGGTAGTCAGCGAGGGAGAAGACGTTTTAGCACGGTGGAGTGATGGACTGTTATACCTGGGCAGCGTCAAAAGAGTGAGTTTTCTGCTCTTTTATCGTGTGTGTGTGTGTGTGTGTGTGTGTGTGTGTGTGTGTGGTCCTTACAGTTTAGCTTTTTTTGCAAAAGATACATATTCCTTGTTTTTTTTCACACAAAACAAGGCTAAACTGTGGTTAATGAGGTTAAAGGGGAATTCCACCAATTTTCCAAAATCTCTGCATAATGCAGTGGTTGAGATGTGTAGTCATTCAGAGTGGTTTGATGTGAAATGGTTCATTTGCAGGGAACCCGGCAGACGCAGATTTGTGATAGGAACCCAGGGGTCCTGATGTTCACAAGGCAAATATAGCCATTTTATGTACTATCCAAAACCACCAGTGAACCTACATATGTCTATGATGATGGTAAAATAGTGGTCAATCTGAAAAAAGTAAGTTTTTTTGGGGGACTATTTTGCCTTAGAACACCCTTCATATATCCCCCACCATGAATAGGTTAAATTAGCATGATAAAAATACATTTTAGACCAAAACTTTATCACAAAACTAGTGTAAAACCGTGTCTCAGAGTGTATCAGACAGTGTATTTGTAACTATTCATGTATTAACTTTCTGCAGGGGAGCTTTTAGAGGGGGACGTCTGGTTCCTATCACCACCACTGTAAACAGTTCTGATTCTGAGTTTCTCCAGAGCAGAGCATTTCACACCAAACCACTCTGAATGACTTTGTTGATATGATATGATATGCCATTTAATTATGCAGAAATTCAGAAAAATTAGTGGGGTTTCCCTTTAATGTTAGGGTTAGGATTAGAAAAGTAATTTCAAATATTTACTTACATATAACACAACTGGGGTATATTATTACATATAGGCAGTTGCATATATATAATACATGTGGGACGTACTATTACCCTTAGGTACTTACCTGCATAAAAATGTGTGGGACACATTACATATAGGCAGTTATGTATAATACATATGGGACATATTATGATCATATATGTGTTTACATACATAAAATACATATGCAAAAGCACAGTTTAAAACCATTTATCTTGGCAATAAGTGTGTTTTTGCTTGTAAAAAATACCACATATTATTAGAATAGATGCACGCACACATAAATACAGTAAACTGTAACAAGAACTTGGTTCCAGATTTCCAGATTTCACCCAAACTCCCTCAGCCATCTGATGGATTTGTTCATGTTTTATCACCAGCTCACTTGATTTAAGATGAAGCATTGTTAAGCCAAACCAGGTGTTGTATGATAACTACAGTTAATGCTGGGCTCCCACAAGGGGCAGACATAAAACCATATAATGTTATTTTGTATTTATTTAAATTTTAGCGTTAGCAAATAAAAGATAACAGTAGATAACATACTATTAATGTGTATAGGTAGCATGATTACATCTAAGTAACTCTTGTGTGTCTCTGTTATTACTGTATTGGGTACTGGACACCAACAACTCATGTGACTTCTGCTCCTCAGGTAGATGTTGTCAAGCAGTGTTGCTTGGTCAGATTTGAGGATAATTCGGAGTTTTGGGTCCTCAGGAAAGACATTCATTCATGTAAGTGATCTCGTTTTAAGCCGTCAGCTCTTCTCAGCTGCACATTCACAGTTGCAGAGTTTTTGTTAACGTTTTGAAAACCCAGCAGCAGTTTTATGTCATGAAAAGATTTATGACAAGATTCTTGACAAGTTCATTTGTCAGGAAAATGTTCAGTATGTGCATTTAATGGAAGTGTGCGCCCGAGTAAGGACAAAAAGGGAAATGTTGAATATAAATGATATAATGTCCACTTTCCTGATGAGTCTGTCTGTGATTAGCACTACATGTGAAAAGGCTGGTCAATTCCATCTGATTTCTAGTTTTAAATAACATCATTTTTAGGTGTTTCTTTTGTGTACTCTAACATGTTGCTGTGCTGAAGGGATAATGCGGTATGGGAATAATAATACTGGGTTATCTCTGGTTAATTTGAAGTGGTATATTGCACAATATAAAAGTGAAAAAGTGAGGAAAAAACGTTTTTTTAAGTATCATAAACTAATAGCTAATGAACCTATGTTACTGCTTGGAGTAATATCTGAAAATTAAACTAGAACATATTAAGTATACTTTAAGTGTAATATTACTCTAAGTCAGTGGTTCCCAGTCCTGCCTTGCACAAGTGTTTGTGTTAAGAGTCTGCCCTGCTCCCAGCACACCTGATCCAACTAATCCGCTAATTAACAAACACTTCCTGAGTTGAAGTGGGTGTGTTTTGGCAGGAAAACACAAACGTGCAGGACTGGGGCTCCTCTAGGACTAGCGTTGGGAACAACTACTCTAAGTAATAACACTTGCTCTTTCCTGTAGTCTGTGCACAAGTTCCCACAGCACATCTACAGTAATATTAAAATAAAGTAAAAATGTTACAGTATGCCTTTAGAGCTGTTTAGTTCCTTTGCATTTGCGCTCATCTCTCAGTCTATCATTCCGTCTTTCTCATGCTCTTTCTTTTCTTCTCTTTCTCTCTCTCTCCATCAGTCTCAGCCAGTGGGGAGGACGTTTGTTGTGTCTGTGACGGGCCACCTCTTAAAGAGCCTCTTATAAACTGTCTCAAATGCCGCCACGGTAAGCAAACACGTTTTATTAAGATTGCGTTCCACCCAAAACGCAGCATTTAATATGTGATTTCTAACTATGAAGATCGTTTGGGAGACTCTAATGAGCAGTCATAATGTATGGTCTTTTGGGCCAGGTTTGTGACATTTTAATCTTAAACTGTCATCTTTTTTGCACATTGTTTAATTTTAATGGTAGTCAACACCACCGATTTCCGGTTCCTTAACCTAAATCAGTCACTACAATTGCCTAGTTATTTTGTTAAGTTACAGAATGTTTAAGTGGTTGATTAAAGGGGAATTCCACCAATGTTTCAAACTCTTGCATTATTCAGATGTAATTAAAGTCATACAGAGTGGTTTGATGTGAAATGAGGCATTGTAGAGATTTCTTTACAATGGTGGTAGGAACCAGGGGTCACTTTTTTCAACAAATATATTTTATTTGCTTTCAAACATGACCAGCGGACCTACATGTGTCTTCTGAGTTTTAATATGTACTGTTGATGATGGTAAAATAATGCTAAAGTTTTCTGTTTTTGCCTTACTTTACCCTGCATGCACCTCCCCACCATGAATACATTTTAAAACACATTTCAGTCCACAAGCTTCTTTCAAAACCATCATAAAACAATGTCTCAGGCAGTAGGCAGCGTATTCATAATCATTTCATGTAATAGCTTTTTGTGAGGTAGCTTTTAGAGGCATTAAATGTTTCGGACATCTGGCTCCTATTACCGCCACTTTGAATGGATCTGACTCTCTAGAAAGGCGCATTTCGCATTAAACTGCAGAAATAGCTTATGCATAAATTTCAAAGAATCTGTGGAATTCCCCTTTATGTTCTTTCAAAGTGATTTCACTATGCAAATCACAGATTAGAGATGAAATCCTCATGCAAGATTTTAAAAAAATGTTTAATGTTTTAATTTCACAAATATCAGACATTGGTTACAGACATTCAGACTGACCGCTGTTTACCTCTGTGGCTGAAGTGCTGTTTCTGCAACTGAATTTTAAAAGTCTCTTGTACCCCACTTGTGTGTTTTTACAGGTGCCATTTATCAGATAGTAAAAGATGGTCAAGCTAGTTCAAATATTTATATGCAAAATATTCGGCTTACATTGTCAACAACGTTGATAGATCTTGGAAGAAGATCAATTACATATTTATTCCTACAGAGAGCACCTTTAAATATTCATTGCCTTTTAAAACATTTAAGACCTCTCAGGGTATATCGCAGCATACATTTTCTGTGAACTGGTATTCTGTGTTATTTCAGGTTATCATCCGCAGTGCCATACTCCAACCATTGAACCCGAGGTTGACAGCAACTCCTGGATCTGCCGCCAATGTGTCTTTGCTGTTGCAACCAAGGTTGGAAATAGAATATGTGGCTGCATGATATGGCAAAAAATGCTAGTATTTTGATTGTATTCCTACATACTGAAATTGAAAATGATTTAACTAAAATCATTTACTTCTGTTAGAATCCTTGAATATCTTGATTCATCAAAACAGAACCTCATTTGGAGCTGTGATTGCTCAAGCTGCTCATAGCACACAGGAAGAAACGTTGTAATTAGTTAGAAGATTCATTTGCATATTGCATTCTATTATATCAGCATTGCAAAAGCCACTTTATTAGGTACACCTAACTTATATTTACACTTATTGTTCGTTTCATCAGGTCCACTTACCAGGTGTATTTTGTAGATCTACAATTACAACTTGTTTCTCTTTAACCTTCACATCAGTGGTCAGGACCCTCACAGGACCACCACAGAGCAGGTATTATTTGGGTGGCGGATCATTCTCAGCACTGCAGTGGCACTGATGTGGTGGTGGCATGTTAGTGTGTGTTGCGCTGATACGAGTGGATCAGACACAGTAGTGCTGCTGGAGTGTCCACTCACTGTCCACTCTATCAGACACTCCTACCTTGTTTGTCCACCTTGTAGATGTAAAGTCAGAGGCAGTAGCTCATCTGTTGCTTCACAGTTTTTGTTAATCATCCTCTAGTCCTTCATCAGTGGTCAGTTTCTGGCTACAGGTCGCTGTTGGTTGGTGGACTATTCTCAGTCCAGCAGTGACACTGAGTTCACACTACAACGTCAGTGTAACTACAGTGCTGAAAATGCAATAATACCTGCACTGTGGTGGTCCTGTGGGGGTCATGACCATTGATGGCCAGGGTGAAGAAAGCCTAACAGATGATGCGGAGATCAGATGCACTACAGTCTGTAATTGAAGAGCTAAAGTATAAGTGTACCTAAGAAAGTAAATAGAGGTTTTGGGCATTTTGGGGTGTTACGCCGTAGTAAGTTTTGTGGAGATGTCTTTTTCTATTTTTAATGGAACCTTAAACTAATTCAACAAATTAGTTATAAAAGAGGATGACCATGCGTGAAGCTCTTCTTCCTTCCAGTCTAACATTGTATGTCTTCCGTTTTTTGTGACAAAGTTGTCGCACCCCACCTCCACCCCATCTCCTTCCAGTTCCTCAATCCTCTCTCAGTCTTGCCTCTGTTGATCAAGGCGGGGGTCTGGCTTTCTAGCTCAAAGCAGAACAGCAACTCCAGCCTAAGTCCTCGGAGTTCTTCCCGTCTCTTTTCATACTTTACAACCATATGTTGAAGGCAGTGATGCACCAAAATGAGAATTATTTACCGAAGCCAAAATCAGTCGAAACCCAGTAGAAAGGGTTGTTTCATACAAAATTTGATAATTTACTGTCTTATTCTTGCTTTTGAATTGCTGTAATAATGCTGACGATTTTTCAAAGGCAACACTCACCATGTTGGGAAAGAGAACTGACAGAGAACTAGAGGACTAACTTAATTTTAAACATCTTGCTAAATAATATTTTATGAAAATATGGTTTCCTAATAAGGAATCTACAGTTGAATTCCAGAGCACCACCGCTATAATGACAAAAACACTTTTGTTACATGTAAAGTACATGGATGTGGCTTTGGAGCTCCTGTCTAGCAGTCTGAAGTTTCTCCAGAAGGAGGCGCTGTTAGCACACAAGTCACTTTCGTATGCATCATTTAGAGAAGAAACAGCAATAAACCTCAGCAGGAGCTAACGAACATTAGCGTTTGCATTAACAACTTTAAAAAACAAAGATAAAGTTTATTGCGGAAAGACATTGAGTTACATCATATTGTTAAAGAGTTTTATTAAAGCTGTTAATGCTAAAAAGCATGTAAGATAAAAACCATATAGAATATATATCTAAGCTGCAGGATTTTTTTTTTGTTTTGCTCTTTATCTCGTACTACACAAACTGTTTGTATCTGTGTTGACCAACACTGGAGAGTGAAGGACACAGATGATCTTTTTAAATGACTATTTGTTATTCTCATTATCGTTCAGATGACATTTCATTGTAGACCTATTTAATTGTTTGCTTTTTTCAGGGTAAATTTTTCTGTCTTTTGTCTCTTTTTGCTACTTTCAACCGTTTTTGTACAAAATATTTGGTGGCTGAAATTATGGTGCATCCCTAGTTTAATTCGACCTAGCAAATATGGAGCATTTATCTGTTTGGTAACCACATTCAATCCGTACACTATAGCACTGAGCAGTAGGTGCATAGGATTTAAAGGGATGCATTTCTGTACGTACGCTCCAATGCAGATCTCTACTTTTAGTGTGACTCTTTGTGAATGTCCATGAATTACTTATGCTGGGCTGTGTGTTTATTAGGTAGCGGTGCTCTGCAGGTGATGGCTGGGAGTCTGCCACACTAAATGGGCTTGTTCTTTAATCTGTCCGTCAGAGCTCGCATTTACACCCCCGGCTGACAACCCCATTTGACGATAGAAATCTTGTTCGTCTGACCTCAGTTCGGAAATATAATGACTTTCCCTTTCAGCTGTTCTTTTCCCAACTCCAATCTTCAAATAAGATCTCTATTAAATGTGCTTACATGACGGGGGGGGGGTCGGAGGAGGGAGGCTGAGTGATGCGATGCATAGAACTGACAGGCTGTGTTTCATCCTAGAGAGGGGGAGCCTTAAAACGAGGGCGCTTCGCCCGACTCATGCAGTTAATGAAACTGAGGCTGCCCTATCAGCTGTCGTCTTTAGACTGGGATCCCCAGCACCTGACCAACCAGCAACAGTGTTACTGCTACTGTGCCGGGCCTGGAGAGTGAGTTGACCTGCGCTGCTCTTTGCTGCCTTAAAAGACTGCTTTTAAAAATTTGGGTGTTGGTTTGTCTTGAGGTTTGGACATACCTGCTTTTCTTTATCTTTTCTTTATGGTTACATTGTTTAATAAAGTGCTGGGGACAACTAGGAGAAAACTAGATATAATGTGTAGTCCACTTTAAAAACGCTGTATCAAATACTGTTCAAACCTGTCCTAATGACCCGAACACAACAAAAATCTGTCTAAAACTAACCAGACCTGGCCCCAAAGTGCTGAATAAATCTAATAGGATAGCGCAAAGTACCATGTAGTGACTGAGGCTACGTTGACAGGTAAAAGTGGCCCAAATCTGATTTTTCTCTTCATATGTGACACAGATCTGTGTGCCAGTGTGAACAGCAAAAACACATTGAATCTGACATTTTCATTTCCGATATGAGACGCTTTCATATGTGGTACTGAAATCCGATCTCAACAGCCAGATCGGAATTCATGCGTTTTTTACGTTAATCCAACTCGACATTCGTCATAATTTCGCGCTGCTGAGACTCACAAACATTTGGGGTGATATTTCTGTACAAAAATTTGAAGAGACTTTTCCAAAACAACTGTGTTTGAAGAGATTTAGAAAGAAATGGCCGAACGTGGCCGCAGGAGGCTGCAGCGTCAAAGAACAGTTAAAAGTCTGAAAGAATCCGAGGACGCGAACCAAAGAAGTGACCGTGGCCGAATAACGTGCACCTTTTACAGCGAGCTTGAACACATTCTGGGTGATGAGCCCAGCTATCTGTCAATGAAGCTTCATCATGGCTCCTGTGATGCTGGCGAAGGTGAAACTGAAAGCTCGGTGACCGACTGGCGTCCGTTGGCAGTCATGATTGTTTACCTCTGGATGAGCCTCGTGAAGCAACGTGAATCATTGTTCTTTTGTGCATGCAGTCAGTTTAGGATCTGATCTGTTCAGACTGACGTCGCATACAGATCACATTTAAAAGATAAACAGCCAAACAAAAAAATCGAATTGGGTGAGAAAATCAAATTTGGGCCACTTTTACCTGCTGTGTGAACGTAGTCTGATAGCTGTCATTAGATTATCGATAAATGAAACAATATTGTATTCAATTTTCAATACCATACTATTAGAAAACAGTCCATTGATCAATATTAAGTGTAAATTCTGTGTTAAAGAATTTATTCATTAATCAGTGCTTTCAAGCAACATCACAGACGCTTTAGTCTGGATAAACTTGCCATACCGTGCTGTTCTCACGCTGCGCAGGGTAAAATCTGTCAAAAATCTGTCAAAAAACTTTTTTGTTGCTTATGGCAGTATGTTCTCACTACGTATCTAAATAAACCACGCTCAAAGGCTTTTCATAAAGCTTTTATTCTTCACTTGCCTTACTGATGCTACGTCTAACAAGCTCTCAAGCATAGAATGTCAGCTACTGAATTTCCAGTGACGGTGTAGACGATGTACCTCATGGGCTTCTTATTAACTGTTGGAGTTGTACATTCAAAATTTCATAAAGTAGTAGAGGATGGACCAGAGAATGTCTCCAGTGTGCAGTTGAAGACCCATACACAATGTTGTAATAGATCACTATCAGAATGAAGGAAGCCTCATCAAATATAAATAGATGAAGATGAGCTAGGAATATTATTTCTGTACTACAGAGTGTGTAATTGTATGAATTTGTATATCTTGAGGGCAACATTAAGTGTATATGCCCCATTGGATCTTGCTAAATACTTCCAGTGTTAGCTGAGCTAGCCTACAAACCGTTCTCTGTTTCCGTGCTATTTACACTAAACGTTGTATGCTTTGTCACTGTAATGTTCCAAATACAATAGAAGAACTTATCCTGTATAATGCTGAATAGTTATGTTCATCCTAATACACTTTTACCAGGCAGCACTCACCCACTGCCACTGCCTCTTGTCAGAAAAAAACAGTGTTTAGCTGCTATTTTCATTATCTCAGCATGCAGTATCAGAACTTAATTATTGTCAGTGCACTGCGTAGCTACTAGAGCATCACCAAGAGCTGAGGAATAACCAAAAACATGTTTCTGCATGGTCTTATGGATGTTTTAGAAGGTGTTTGAACAGATTTATGCAGTGAGTTATCATATAAAAGATTTTACACAAAGACTGAACTTTTTCAAAAAGTGGTGTCCCCAGCGTCCCTAGCGTTTATTACACCTATGATAGTAAAGATATCAAAACTATGACATTAGAAATGTAGGCCTACTTGCAAGTAAGGCTTTCTAGACTCTTACAAACCTATAATAAACCTGATTGGCTCCAAAAGATTAAGTGAGGCACAATTCCACTAACTTTAAATGAGACACACAGAGCAATAAGGGTTATGTAATGAATGTGGTTCAGTATTTTTTTTTTTGTGTAAAAAATGTTTTGGAAATAGTAGTGTACATGGTTATTTGCCTAAGAACCTGATGGCTAAAAACTGCTGTGTTTTTCAGGGCAGTTTTTTATTGCAGTTAGTTACTACATACAGGTCATTGTTAAGATTTTTTTTTAATCACTACAAGTACCGATACCTGAATTTTTGAGACCAGTTCCTGAGCTCTACCTGTTTCGATACCTTCTTTCAATTAAAAACTGAAAGTGGATGTGTCCAGAAATTAGTGAGAGATATATTTACTGTATATAATGGATTACAGACTAATCCAGAAGCACTGGCTTTAATATCATGCACGCTTACGTATCGTGTAATTTAGAATTCATATAGATCTGAATTGAAATTTCAGGATGTCAGACTTCATGAATAATACAGAATTTGTGGGAAGTAAATACAGAGTGTCTGTGCTTTAAATCATTAGGCTATTTTAAATGGCTCAGTTAGAAAAGACCTGAAAATAAGACCAAATATATTTACATACAGTTCAGAGAAAAAAAAACATCTGAAATGCAGGCTGATTTACTACACCTAATTCAGTTCCCCAACCCTGCTGCAACCTAATCACATCTTTTTATTAGGTGGAACTTGAAGATGTTGCAGTGCGGCAGTTGTGGACAGTGGTTTCATGAAGCTTGCACCCAGTGCCTGACCAAACCTTTGCTTTATGGAGACAGGTGAGGATATTGGTGCCATTAAAGTGCACCGGTGCTGCACTACTGATTTTACATGCAAGCCTCTTTCTAATTTGTTTTTAAGGTTTTATCAGTTCCAGTGTTCGGTTTGTACAAATGGCCCAGAGACTATTCAGAGACTGCCTATGACCTGGTAAGAGCATATGTCTGTTTACTATTGTCAATGACCAAATAGGCAAAACAGAAAAATAAAGACTTTTGGTGCTAATGGATTTCATAAGTGATGTTTTTTTGCTATTTTATTCTGTCCATCCAGGGTAGATTTGGCCCATTTAGTGCTGTATCATCTGTCTCTGTGCTGCAAGAGGAAATACTTTGATTTCGATCATGAAATAATGTCCTTCACAAATGAGAACTGGGATTCTTTGCTGTTGGGCACGGTACGTGGAAAATCTTGTATATACAGACATGCTAATCAAACCAACCCTGAGGATAAGACACAATTAAATATAGCACAAACTAAGCGTTCTATGAGGTTGAACAGCCGTGTTTTTAATCATTTGATCGTCTCGCCTGTGTTTTTTTTCAGTGTTACTAAATACAACCACATTCCACTGAAATGCATGTTCCACTGCGTTCATTTTATGGCTGACAGTTATTTATATGCATGTGACGGTTTCTTTGTGTTCTCTCCGTCCCTCAGTTGTCAGATACACCCAAGCAAGATCGCTGCAACAATCTGCTCAACGCTTTAAATTCCCACAAAGACAGGTGAGACAAAGCTTATATAACCAGCGAACACTGCTATGATTTTTCCGGATCTGCTCGTAACCATCCGTATGAGTGGGCTACTCTAATTCAGCAGAAGTGCGTTGTCCTAATACACCAGAGAAATAGCTGTATTATGTAATTACAGACAATGTAGGTGCGGTTTTGTCCTTTATGTGATAGCAGCCTAACAATTACTGCAGTAGTCCCCAGATCACTGTTATCAAATTTTGCATTTCCATTTTATTACATTACATGTAATCCACAGAACAGTACCCAGTGCTGTGCTGTTGCTGTAATGGCTCACATTCTCACCGAGCACTTTCATTTGCCATTAAGGTTTGTCTCGGGCAAGGAAATCAAGAAGAAAAAGTGTCTTTTTGGCCTTCAAGTGCGAGCTCCTCCTCCGCTGTCGTCTGACTCATCGCCTCTCATCGCTGACCAGCCAGTCAGCATCACACACCGCAGAAGGTCAGCACCTAGGCTTTCCTCAGTCTGTTTATTGTAGACTGGTGGTCATTTTGTGTCTAAATGCAGTTCCAGAAAGTGCAGGTAACGTTGGCTCTCGTAAAGATGTGGACAGAATAATAGAAGCACCAGATATATGAATTCATCAGTAATATCAGTCAATCAATAAGGAATTTGGATGCTTGTTGTCTTCAGAGATGCTTTAGTTAAACCTTCGAAGTTACAGTTACTGCTAAACTAAACTTACATCAGTGATTTCTTGCTTGTAGCTTATTTAAACATTAAAATAGTTCTGTCAAAAATGCAGATTCTTTCAGTTTTTACCATGTTAATGATTTTAAGCAGAACAGGACATTATTTGGTTATGATTTTGAATTTAATGAAATGTTATTGTTGTGCACACATTCTTGTTATATGAGAGAAAATCGTCCTTTACGTTTTTTTTGTCATTTCTTAATATTTGTTCACATTTTACATTGTCATTTCTTGACAAATACAGAACATAAATCAGTTCTAAATGTAATTAATTATGTAATTTATTGTCTAATTATGTAATAATATTCAATACTGTTGCGGTATCAGTGAGACATTACTAAATGTAATTGTATAATGACACAATATTGCACAGATATTGGCACCTAGGACAGTAAAATACAATACTGGCTTCGGCAAAGGAGAATCCTGATACCACAAAGCAACTTCTGACACGTACGTGTGTGCCAGTGGACGAATTTAAACTAAAGGAAGCATCACGTTGATGGTGGGGGACTATTTCACATTTGAGACAAGCAGTAATAAAAATGCTCATTGCTAAATCTGTAATGCCAGTATTTCATGGGGTGGGGCACTAGTAGTGGGCGATATATCGGTTAAAGTTCTTTCTAAGGTATTAGAAATAAGCACACATATTGCAGTAAAAACAGGGCAAAACAGGCTAACAGTACCTCCTTAACCTAAATGGCTGAGCCAGGCTTCTTTCAATGGCCACTCATCTCCCACTGTGTATTAAAATGCGGCCTGAGTTATTGTTAGTGCAGTCTGTTATAGAGGGAGTGAATATTAGACAGACATATGGAAGCAGCAGTCAGTTTCTTGGGGTAACAGTACCCTCTAGTCTAGGGTCAGCCTTTAGCGTAGCGGCCTGCTAGCCATGCTTGTGTTTTCTCTAATACCGGGCGCCTCCATTGGTCAGCTGCATCAGACAACCGTGTGGTCACAGGCATGGTCTTTACAAAAATCCATGGAGCAGCAGCTGCTGCTGACAGCATGAATGACTGTAATATTTCTGGTAACGCCAGCAGTCTGAATACCCGTGTATGCTTATGTGTACATACTGTAGGTTTATTTATGTATTATTTAATTCTGTTTTTAATGTTTTGAACCATTAAAATATATAAAATTTGCTTCAGTTGTTAACCACAACTGAGTGCCATGCATTTCACCTTAGTATATTCTTTGTGACATATGTCACTGTATTTTGTAAAATAAAGTATTTAAAAAGTGGAATTGTCTAGATATTAGGTTGTATAGGCACCTATTGAGTAGTGAGGTTAAATAAGAGTTAGTATCGGTGTGTGTATATATATATATATATATATATATATATATATATATATATATATGCCGATCAGGCATAACATTATGACCACCTCCTTGTTTCTACGCTCATTGTCCATTTTATCAGCTCCACTTACTATATAGGTGCACTTTGTAGTTCTACAGTTACAGACTGTAGTCCATCTGTTTCTCTGCATACTTTGTTAGCCCCCTTTTACCCTGTTCTTCAGTGGTCAGGACCCCCATGGACCCTCACAGAGCAGGTACTATTTGGGTGGTGGGTCATTCTCAGCACTGCTATAACACTGATGTGGTGGTGGTGTGTTAGTGTGTGTTGCGCTGGTCTGAGTGGATCAGACACAGCAGTGCTGCTGGAGTTTTTAAACACTGTGTCCACTCACTGTCCACTCTATTAGACACTCCTACCTTGTCGGTCCACCTTGTAGATGTAAATTCAGAGACGATAGCTCATCTGCTGCTGCACAGTTTGTGTTGGTCATCCTCTAGTCCTTCATCAGTGGTCACAGGACGCTGCCCACAGGACGCTGTTGGCTGGATATTTTTGGTTGGTGGACTATTCTCAGTCCAGCAGTGACACTGAGGTGTTTAAAAACTCCAGCAGCACTGCTGTGTCTGATCCACTCAGACCAGCACAACACACACTAACACACCACTACCACATCAGTGTTACCGCAGTGCTGAGAATGATCCGCCACCTGTTCTGTGAGGGTCCATGGGGGTCCTGACCACCGAAGAACAGGGTAAAAGGGGGCTAACAAAGTATCAGAGAAACAGATGGACTACAGTCTGTAACTGTAGAACTACAAAGTGCACCTATATAGTAAGTGGAGCTGATAAAATGGACAATGAGCGTAGAAACAAGGAGGTGGTCATAATGTTATGCCTGATTGGTGTATATATTCATGATGTGCCAAAAGTCATAAGACAGGAACTAGTATCATGTAGGACAGGGTCAGACCCACCATCATATTCAAAGGTTAGGTAGCAGGCAGCAAGGGTCTGACATTCCGAAAAGAAAAACTCATCCAAATGCCATTCTGTTACTTTGTGCACCCTCTCTGTGTATTGACACTCTTTCTACCGTTCCATCTCTGCAGAGGAAACTCATCAAGGTTACTGAATGATCTTCTGTCATTTGGTCCACAGCCCCCTGTCACTGCCGTGCCAGAGACGAACGGTGGTGCCTGAATCTCGCAAATCAAAGCGGCGCATGGTCGAGACACAGGTCAGTGCTTCTGTCTTTAACCGCAGCCCGGTCAGGAGGAAGACCGGCAGGGGCCACATCCGCCTGCATTGAAAATGAGCTCCTCTCAAACGTGAAAGTGACCCAGCAGTCCCAGCCAGGCGATAAGATTCACCTGTTAACTTCAATTGTCTTTGTGTTTACGGCGCGTTAACACAACACACGGGAGATTGCTGGCCTGCCGTTTTGCTTACTGCTGTTTGACCTGTAGAAGCTGCAGTTACCACTAAAGCATGTCAAAATTTTATATTAATTATTTCTCAGTCATAGCTTATTGCACCAAGCAATTCTACCAAAAGTGCTTTCTCATGTTAAAGAGGTGATATTTTACCATGATTTGGATTTGGTGAGAAGTTACTGTGTAGAGTCTTGTTTTTTGGAAAGAAAATCCTTTACATTTTTCATATTTTGAACTTGCCTTTTTTTGTTTTACGCTGTTATTCTGTGATAACGAGCTATTTTCATTTGTTCCTCAAGATCTTAAGTTATTTATATTTTTTCATGACAAAATGAATGTTGTTTTACCACAACATAACGAATGTCATAAAACAATATCCATTACGTCAGAATAGTGACATAAATATCAGGTGATATCAAGAACACATAAAAATAACTCCTTATAATGGAACAACATTCCTTGGCCCCTTTGAGCTTCTGTATTTTTGCCCTGTTTTTGTCAAAACAAAAAGAAAAAAACGTGCAAACCTGTCGATATAGAATGTAAATCAAATTTATTTTATTATGTAACTATGTAATTAAATTATGTGAATGTGTAATTACATTTAAATAGTATAGCAAAACAACAATAATAACTCCTCAGTCTCAGTCTATTTGTGCTCATATAGATTTGAGATAAAGCACAGACTCATGTTTTGTGGTGGGATTATTGTCATATGGGTGCAGGAGAATGAAGGCATGGTTGGAGATGGTCAGAGAGTTTGTCCAGATGCATTTGGCAGTCTTTTACAGTTCGGCTAGGTGGCACTGGCACAATGACAGTACAGCGAATTTAAAGTGGCAGTGTATCATCTGTACATGTACTGTAATATTTTTACCTTCGTCCTTGTGATCATGCACTGTAGAATGTTCTGCGCAGGAGAAAAGAGAAGGGCCTATACATAAATACAGATCTTGAATCTGTGTTATAATATGAGACATAAGGTAAAGCAATAATAGAACGTTTGCAGCGGTCTCGACTTTGATGCATTCTTATCTGTCCATGTTTCAGCGAGATTACGGGTGGTTTTGAGATGCTGTGTCATGCTGCTATTGTCAAATGACTTGTGCAGAAGGGAAATGCACCACAGAGTAATGCCATCATTTAGATTCTGCATGAGTGCTGAAACTCTGACACCATGCTCTAACACACTGCTGCCGTGCAAGAAGCATACACTCACCCACAATATGCGCTCACTCACCTCTGTTTATCAGGCTTTTAAAGCTAAGGGTACTGATCTCGCTTTAGGTCTCATTTGTCCATAGTTTTGTATTTATAAGCATATAAAAGGGGAAAGAAACAATGCTAGATCAGTATTCTTACTAATACGTTTGATATCTATGGACAAGTATGTTTTACATTTTGTTCAGTTTTGACTCTCATTTTAGCAGTTATTATTTTAATTGAAATTCTGAACTTGTAAGTTCAAAAAGATATATTTTATGAGACTCTTAAATTGTGGCAGTTTTTTTTCTTCAAAAGAAACAGCCGTGCAAACTCTAGCAGAGAAATTCAAAACTTGCATAAGTTATCAGAGCATAAAATAATAAGGTAATCAGTTTTCATGATATTTTATGTTTATAAAGTCAAAAGTCAGACGTTTGTAGAACTTACTGGTTTAGGGTTAGTTACACACATACTTTAATTACATAGTATCATGATAAATTCTGTGTATTTGGTGTATTGTGATACACTAAGCACAAACATATTGTGAATATTGTCAGTACTCAAAGGACACTGATCAACTGCATGCTGAGTTTTTGATAGTAAAACATCAAAACTCTACTACAACGTTAAAAGTTGTTAGGTTCATGAACTTGTTCATAAAGAAATTGTTATAACTGTAACGGTTGGATATATTTTTAAATTAATTTTTCTCCAATTAATGGATTTCAACTTTGGGATTTACAGTGTACAGCTGAGTAACTCAATGATGCTTGTTAGCTTTCAGTTATTGTAAGAAATGTGAGCATTTGTCAAACTTATGACAGGAAAAACCCAATAATAGATAAGGATTCTTACCCATAAGTGTATAAATACGAACAACTGTGTTTATTACACTGTGTGTTCCTGAAATGAAAGTTCTTTATCTTTAAATATCTTTCGTGAGATATTTTGTTTTATTCCTAAAAAGGTAGATGTTCAGTACTTAAAAGTCCCCCATGCGCTGAATCTTGCAGTGAAATCCAAAAATGCTAATGCTAACAGCTGCCATTGAGCTAGCATTTCAGTCATCGAGTGCATTTACATGCACTTAATAATCTTTTCTGCGGTTATCTGATTATTCAAATGGTCATGTAAGCTGCATACTCGGATTTCTTAGATCAGATTAAGAAATCTATTAAGGAGAGCGGGATTTTAGCTCAGTAATCAGATTTCTCAGCACATGTAAACTCTTACTCAGATTTCTTTCAGATTTCTCAGTCTGCGCATGTGCAAAACAGAGCAAGCAAATATGCAAGCAACATTTAACGCAGCACCCATGAGATGGCAACAAAACACTTTTAGAGTGACGCTGAAACCGACTACCTGCTTGACAAAATGAAAGATTTAAATCTTTTTCATATACTAGATGTTGATTTTTAAAAAAAAGCTGTGGCATGATGTTTGAGTTTTGCATTACATTTATGTCTTCCTCTGTGAGTTTATTCGTTTTTGTTATTATTATTATTAAAGCAGAAATCTGATTATTGCTTGACTCATGTAGACCTGGAGTTTCCCGTTATCTGAACCCCCAAGCGCATGTAAATGTGTTTATGGTATTACTGACAAAATCTGAGTTATCAGATTGTTAAGTACATGTTAATGCACTCACTGTTAGCAGTGTTAGTTTTTGCATTTTTAGGTTAAGTATAAATTCTATACTTTTTTGTCTTTCAGCCCTGTCCTCCAGGAGTTACTGCCAACCCGATAGATCTGGTGCCATGTTGCCATGGTTATGTAGGTGGGGCGAACATCTACAACTCCCGAAAATCGGAGGAGGAATTAGGCTTGGGGTTAGTACTGTGTCAGTGAACATATCTAGATCTCAACCGTAATGACTTTACTGATGTTTTGAGGACTGACATATGAATGTCTGAAGGGCATTAGCATTTACTTGCTGTTATGAATATTTTACATTCATATAGAAGGTAGAAACTGATTTAAGGTTCATTAATCAATTCTTCACTGATGAAAATGAGTATTGGTCAGTACTTTGGGCTGTTCAAGCGGAAAATGTATTTGTTTTTGACAGGTCACCTCCCAAGAGAATGTTTGCCCTGTATCACCCGTCATATAATGGATCTCAGGGTCTGTCTCGAACTTTGCATCACTACAGGTTTGTAAACAGCGAGTATGTTTACAGACAAGTTTCTGATTGTAGTGTTCACAGTTGTTTTTGTATGATATATTACAGCGAGCATTGTGTAAAGGAAATTGTCACTTTTGAAATTGATGATAAAATGGCATTATCTGTACTGATGTTAACATCCTAGTTGTGTTATCACGTAGTATTATTAGAACAGCGGGAACTATTCATGTAAAATTAGGAGTCAGTAATTCCACTAGTCATGTTCACATCTCTTAACTCGCCAAGTTAATGTCTCCCCTTTTTGAATGTCGCACCTTTTATTTTGTCTCAAATTAACTCCAGGTGTTCTACAGTTTACAAACTATATGATGTCTCTCCTGTTTCGTGTTGGGATTAGGACCAGGGTTAGGTTTGGGGTTAAGCCTGTCTTAGCCATGAAATTTCTGTTAATTGCCATGTAAATATTTCTGATTAAGAATTTATTTCTCTCTTTTGTTCAGAATATGCAACTATTAAAGTAAAGTCTAAGTGGCTTGTTAAATTAGATGATCAGCTTTCTTACTTCCTAAAGCCAATTTCACACAAGACGCAGCAACACACTCCTATATTAATCAGTGTTGGCTTTCACACCGGCTACTCACGTCACGTGGCGTACCAGCAGTTTCTGTGCAGAAATATTAAAGAAATGTAATGTCTGTGCTATAATATACAATCTAAGCTAATAAACAAATCAGCAAATCTAGTTTAACTCTTTAGAAGTCCCTTAAGTTGGTTAATGTTGTGAACATCACCTGGAGAGAAAGCCAGCAACAGTCAGGACCCTCACAGAGCAGGTACTGTTTGGGTGGTGGGTCATTCTCAGCACTGCAGTAACCCTGATGTGGTGGTGGTGTGTTAGTGTGTGTTGTGCTGGTCTGAGTGGATCAGACACAGCAGTGCTGTAGGTGTTTTTAAACACCTCAGTGTCACTGCTGGACTGAGAATAGACCACCCACCAAAAATATCCAGCCAACAGCGTCCTGTGACCACTGATGAAGGACTAGAGGATGATCAACACAAACTGTGCAGCAGCAGATGAGCCATCATCTCTGACTTTACATCTACAAGGTGGACTGACAAGGTAGGAGTGTCTAATAGAGTGGACAATGAGTGGACACAGTGTTTAAAAACTCCAGCAGCACTGCTGTGTCTGATCCACTTGTACCAGCACTGTGAGGGTCCATGGGGTTCCTGACCACTGAAGAACAGGGTGAAAGGGGGCTAACAAAGTATGCAGAGAAACAGATGGACTACAGTCTGTAATTGTAGAACTACAAAGTGCACCTATATAGTAAGTGGAGCTGATAAAATGGACAATGAGCGAAGAAACAAGGAGGTGGTCATAATGTTATGCCTGATCGGTGTATGACTGAAAGCAAACATGATGTTAAAAGAAGTTTAATTTAAGTAAAAGATGACACAAGCATCTACAAATCATCTGCAGTGGACAAATTAAAGTGCCATTTTTTTCTTTCACATTATCATCTACTACTTTGTCTTTTTCTATCTCATGCAGTGCGGAGGACCCTTGTCGGCTTCCAGCTCCCTGTCTCCCCTTTTCGCCCCCTCATTCAGCTGGCCAGAGGTTCGAGCAATGCCCCTCACTGTTCCTCCGTGATGTCACTCCCTACCCCAACGGAGTGGGCATGGAAGGGTCTGCGGCAAGAGGCTGGGGCGGTGGGGAGGCCGTCAGGATTCTGGCCAGACGTGTCACACCAGACGGAAAGGTCCAGTACTTAGTGGAATGGGGAAACGTGGCGGTTTACTAAAAGAGGGAGAGTAAGAAGAGAGTGAATATATATATGACAGAAAGATAGAGAGAGCAGGTGAGAGGAAGAAAGACAGTACATAATATTCAACAGTTGGGGAAAAAAAATGAGGAAAGCTGTATGAACCTGCTAACTGGGTGGGATATATATATGTGACAGCACTGGACTCGAGTCAAAGCAAGCAAAGAAAAAAAAAAAAACAACATGAAACAAATCCAGGTTGAGCTCAACAGCAACTTCACTCTGTGGGATTATACTGTTAGATCTCTTTTCCCCCGCAGGCGTCTCCTATATTTTGAATACTGTTAGAAAACACCCTTAGAATGCCTTGAACTTTACTATCATGATTTGTATTATATATATACGATATAAGCTATCCATGGTAATTATATGTTGTTTATGCACTCATCATAGTTCAGGAGGTAAGATTTTGACGAAAGTTTTACGGAGAGGTCATAAAGTACACCTGCAATTGTAATATTACCTTAACAGGTAAGAAGGGCACCCTTGAGAAATAATCCAAGTCGCATTTAGGCATTCCTCTTAATATGCAAACCTTTTATGATTGATGATCTAACAGGAGGTCTGATCAACAATATAATTAGGCAATAGAGAAAAGTTCGTTTTGCACGTCTGGGGATCATCTGATACGAAAATGTCGAATAGCACCTTCATTATTCATTTTGTTCAAGTACACCTTCAAGTGCTCAAGGTAGCAGCACCTTTTTAGGTCAGGTCATGACCCATATTGAGGAAATTTAAAATTTCACATGCTCAAACATGGATGTTTCACTCATGATCTTCATGTCATATTGTAACCATATTTAAGAGACACAGGTGATGCTAACTAAGCTACACTGAAACAGAACTGCCATTCTAACTAGCTGACTTTTTTCATACCTAATTCTGTTACCAGTTGGTAAGACATTGTGAAACTTTGATTTTTTGATTTTTTTAATATGTGCCGTCTAACCCATCAGTAAGTGTGCACAGCAAAAAAAAAAGTTGAAGTTAAAGGGATCAGCTGAAAAATGTTTCCTCAGTTTTTAAATTAGCTTAGTGAATGTAATCACTTTAGATTTACTTTTCACTGATTCAGCTACACTGAGCTAATTTAAAAGTTTTAGATGTGGTAATTATGTGTGTGCGCAGCGTCCTTAAATGATTTAAGCAGCCTACTGTAAATCCTGTAACACCAATGCGAGGAAAAGAAATGTACAGCTATAGATAACAACATTTTCCCACAGTGTTCTTCTCAGAGAAGACTATATATAGGCCCATATAGATACAAACACACACACACAAACACACACACACACACATACACACATACATATGTATATGCACTTCATTAAGTACACCACCTCCCTGTATCTACACGTTGTCCATTTATTATATAGGGGCAGTTTTTACTTCTACAATTCCAGGCTATAGCCCATCTGATCTTCTGCACTCTTAGTTAGGCCCTTTTCACCCTGTTATTAAATGGTCAGTACCCCCACAGGACACCACAGAAATTTTAAACACAGAGTTTTAGTGTCACTGCTGGACTGAGAATAGTTCACCAACCAAAAATATTCAGCCAGCAGCGTCCTGTGGGTAATGTCTTGTGGTCACTGATGAAGGATTACAAAATGACCAACGCAAACTGCAGCAACAGGCAAGCTACGGTCCCAATCTTTACATTTACAAGGTTGATCAACAAGGTATGAGTGTCTAATAGAGTGGACAGTGAGTGGACACAGAGTTTAAAAACACTGGCAGCACTGCTGTGTCTGATCCACTCGTACCAGCGTAACACACACTAACACACCACCACCAGGGTGAAAATGGGGCTGACAAAGTATGCAGAGAAACAGATGAACTACAGTCTGTAATTGTAGAACTACAAAGTAGTTAGTAAAATGTAAAAATGGACAGTGAGTGTAGAAACAATGATGTTTACCTAACAAAGTGGCCAGTATGTATGTATGCATATATATATATATATATATATATATACACAAAACCTTGTATCTCCATTTTTGGCATTTTTCAGTGTTTGACAGAATTTGAACATTTCTGTGGCCCTTTACATTGTATGTAAATTTCATGATGATTGGACGAAAAGAAACGGCCCAGAATTACTTGGAAAAGAATCTGGTTCCATTGACTTACATTAAAAGTAAAGTATGTTCTTTCCTTCTCTTGTAAAGTTACCATTTTGGAGATATGAGGTTTTCTTCTGACCACAGCGATATATATACACTCTCGGTGCTTTATCACAGCAAAACTTTATTTGCTTCAGTTTACAATAAGACAGTATATAACACTATTTAAAGACTACATACTGTCTGTATACTTGTCAATACCGTCTCAGAACAGAACCTTATCTGGTTGGCAAGTGAATGATTTTAAGAAGTTGAGAACATTTGAGACCCATTTGAGCTGGTAAATAATGTAGTTGTTGATGTGGAGATGATAAATATTAGCCTTAATTAAATGTGTTTTTATTGCAAAAAATAACTTGCTAGTCTCAGCTTCAGATGCATGTCATTCAAATGGCCCTTTCCTGTCAAAGTAGGCGGTTCCTTGCCACATTAAGCGATAAAATGCACACTCTCTTACACTAGGCAGAAGTCTGGCCTTGAGAATAAGGTAACAATGGGCCTCATTCATCGAAATCTTTTTACGTTTTTTCCTAAATGTGTTCTTGAGGAAGGTCCTAAGAAAAAGTCTACGTCAGATTCATGACGTGTCTTTAAACCGTAGAATTGTTCGCACCTTTGTGCTCTCGAGTGTGCGTAGATTCTGTTCTTACCTAAGAACAAATTCCAAATAGGAAAACATTGGTAAATGTCAGAATCTTTGTGAAAACTGTGGAAGTGGGTATTAAGAAGAAATTTCTTCTTAAGAACGGTGGCAAATGAGGCCCAACGACCTTAAATTCTTTAAGTAAAATAAAAAAGGAAGCACTTTGTATCTTTGTGTCTTTGGGATACTGCACCATTAGTAAGGTGTTCAGACTGTTATGTTACAGGATTTTACAGTTTCACTGTAATCAAATCATTCAAGTAATTCATTGTTGGGTTTTATCCTATAGGGGGTCCCAGTTATGACATTTATAGAATTTCAGTTATGACTAAGGCCTTTGGATGCAACTGTACACATGCCTGTTGATGCAAGACTCTGCATGGAACTTTTAGAAACCCACTCAGTCCTTGTACTGATTAGAGACCGATTATTTCCTCTGAGCAGAACTTTGGTCAGTCTGAGCAGTAACTCCTCATGCGAAAGAGGTGAACTTCATCAGTGAATGAATCGAATGTATTTTATTTATTTATTTATTTTTCAATTCATGAGAAATCATGTACAATGCACCTGTGAAGTGTTTTTTAGAACATAGACAGATTTTTAAAAAACAATTCAGGGTTAACTTTAAAGTCAAGGGACAAAAACTAGCAGACTGTAATTTTTTCCTTTTTTGTTCTTTACTTTTTTTGCTTTTGGTTGAAATGTTGTCAAGTCCAAGTTTGGTTCGATGTTATCTATGACTTTTGGTCAAATTAAGTTTATACAGTGTGTACAGTAGGTCAATACTTATAATGTGAACAACTAATAAAATTGCCCATTACATCGTAGCAGGAATCTAATGAGTAGCCTGTCCTTGACCACCTCCTCCTTGCATCCTTTACATTTCTTCATGGGTTTAATTCGAGAATAAAAATAATGAGAAACATAATTTTCTGCCTTTAGACAAGTTCCTCCAAATATAGAGGTGTAAAGCTTTTCTCTCTGTTTATTTTTTAGTAGTCTTTTGTCAGCAGACTAATATTTACTTTTGTAAATCTATGATCTATGACTGTTATTTGCATAACAATATGATTTTTAATCACATTCACACAAATGTACACAGAATCATAGATAAGGTCAAGCAAATTTAGGTTTTCTTTTGAGAGTGTAAAATGCAGCTCATTCTCTCATTGCTAGCATACATTTTAATAACGCTACCATTATCGCTTCCAAATTAGTGAACATTACATTGGTGACACATCGAAATACGATGTTCTAGTGCACTTAGTAGTCATGAAGCGGTGCTTAGTGAATTTATTCTCACCTGGAAGAGTAAAGAATTTTCAAAAAAATACTGATTATACTGCAAAGTGAGAATTTCAAACTGACAAACACAGTCCAAGCTCAAACAAACACGCAGTAATTTCTTACCACTGTGCTGTTGCACCTGTCAGTGTTTCAATGAATGCATTTCCTGTTTTTTTTTCGTTGTGTGTATGTTTGGCCCTACAAATGACAACATTGCTTCATTTAATCAGGTTTATAGCGCTTATATAACACGTATGTTTCAACAACGAGGGTCATGGACAGGGATGTCAGTCAGGACCCTGCTGATACCAGGTATTAATGTCCACCCTTGGGTCATCTTATTGCCAGTGGACAGTGAGATGTATAAACATTTAAACCTGGCATTTCTATTAGTCCCGAAAGTGGTCACTGGAGTCACTTGTGCCCGGATTTCATCTGTGGCAGTATCACCACTGGAATGTTTCCCTGGCTGCATGCCACTGTTTTTTTAGTGCCAACATGTAAACTCAGCATAAGAGACTGTGATTCTCGCTGGCCTGTTGGGCCGTCCAGCAGAAATAAGTTTAGACCATTTCCCTATTATGCTGATGATATCAGCTACACAGAGCCATTTCAATAGAGCTGTTTTTGCTTAAATTGATCTATATGTATATATTAGTTATAATCCCAGATGTAATGAATGCAATGGTAAGGAATCACATGTTCTTTTAAACATTAAACCACATTTTAAATTTATGCACAGTATTCTGGTGCTTTCTGAAGCGCATTCATAATGAGGGAGATATTTAAATTCTTGCCCATTATCACTGTCCAATCAGTCTGAGTAGGTTGTACATTGAAATAGCAGGTGTTGTGCTGCTTTCAAGTGCAAGTGGGGCGATTTCTCAGATGAGTTCACCCGACATGCGTGTCCGAGTTGTTTATGTGCAACAGAACACTGTTCACAACGCTCAGAACAATGAGGTTGTTAAATGGGTGTTGTGGTCTATTTGCTAGCTGGCATCTGTTTCAGCCCATTTTACTGTTGTTTTGAACACATACAAAGCAGAAATAAAGTGTGGATTAACTGCACATGTTTAAAATTCACTTTATCATTACAATTTACATATATTTGTACAGTTTATCTGATTGCTTTGTTTGACTGTTCGCTTCTATCGTCCACCATGGTGGAATGATGGATACAGTGTTGACGTCACAACTTGGCCAATTCATGCTGCATTGAAAATTTCAATGTGTCTGACTTTGAAGGACGTTCATGTGGTGCGTCCTGGTGGGAAACTCATTTTTCAGATAAAACTAAGACCACTGGAAAGCAGCATTATTGACATCTATTAACATATAACATCCATCTTGGGTGATCTGATGGTTCTGTTGGACAGGGAGATGTATGATCTCCTACACTTGGCATGTTCATTTGTCTTCAAAGTGCCTCCAGGAGGAGGGGTACTGCTGATCATATTTTATGACTGGAGGAGGAGTACGGTGCACATTTACTACATCAGCTGTTGACTGTGGTCAAACAAAAATGTACCGTAAGCCCTTGTTGTATGGGCTGTTATGAACATTTAGCACGGCACTGTTGGTTGTGTTTTTCCATCACCAACATGTGTTGGTGTCTAAGAGACCACTGGTCACTCCAACAAAAAGATGTTATAAATAGTATACTTAAAACTTTGAAGTTTTACAATTGAGCTCTTGCAAAGAAAAACAGCATATTGTCACATTCCAAAGAAAAACAAGCATCTCCAAAATAGTAACTTAAGTAAGAGGAGAAGGCAAAACCACTCTTACCTTTTAATGTACGTTAATGTAAAGAGGTTTTATTCCGAGGGATTTTAGAGCACTTCTATTGGTCCATTCATCATAAAATTTTCACACAACATAAAGGACGGCTGCTGTGTTGAAATGATGAAACGATGACAAAAATGGAGATGCTTAGTTTTCTTTTGACAGCAATGATATGTGGTATTTTTTTGTAAAAATCATATCAAATAAGCATAGTATGGCATTGTTTGATGCCCAGTATTCAAAATAAAGAGGTCACTAAAAAGTAAGTAAAGCATAGTTTGGAGCTTTCATGACAAAGGTTGTACAAAATACAATAGAAAACAAAAAACTATAATCCAAAAAAGAGTGAAATGGTTAATATATGGTTTTTCATTGGGGAGTTCAGTTATTTCAATGGCCTTTCCATAGACCTGTATTTGCTTATATTGATCTATGAAAACAGACTTTTTTCACGCATTATATCAATTTTGTTACATGTTCCTTCAAACATAAAACCACGTTATTCATTTATGCACAGTATCCTGGTGCTGTTTAAAGTGCATTCGTAATGAGGGAGATATTAAAATGCTTGCCCATTGTTGCTGTCCAATCAGTCTGAGTAGGCTGCACATTAAAGTAGCAGGTGTTGAGTGAACTCCTCAGAGTGAATAAAATTCAATTCTGTAAGAGGCAGTATATCTCAGCAGGAAAATTTTGCTCGATGCAGGATGCGAGAAGTGATTCATTAGATGCTTATTTATCAGCGTAATGGATCAATCAAGAAATTCTGACCTGCAGCTATATTCAGAACTGTAGGTCCTGCTTGTTTTGCGGAGAGAAAGTCTCACGTATGTTTGTTTCATTCATGAAAAGAGAATGTGCCGCAGGTCCCTCGCTCAACGACGGCTGAGGAGTCTGCAGATATTC